ATATATGTATGTATGTATGTATATATATGTATATATGACACTGTTCGCGCGTACGTACGTGTGTGTGTATGTGTGCTCACAAGGAAAGATTCCGTGTGTTTGTGGGCGAGATCTGAACAAAATATTTTTTTTTGTATTATATTATTCTCACGCTCACGATTATTGTTTGCGCGTGTCAAATATCTTCTTTCTTTCAGTTTAAATCCGGCTTAAGATTTATTTTGGTTAGCATTGTCTGGCAATATTCTCAAGTTATATCTCGCGGAAAGCGTATTTGGCGAACAGGGCTTCAAATTCCGGGCTATACTGTTGCATTCACATTTGCACATTTTTGCCTTGAAAACCACTTCACTATCCTTCCCAAAAACACGTGTCAATTCAGATAATAAAGAAAGGCGACTGCCGAAATTCGCAATCACCGATATCCTGAAGATTTATGGCATTAAAAAAATATGGAAATGATAAAGATAAATATGACGGACACTATTCGTCTTTGAGCGCGTAAGAAATTTTTTTCGCCTGTTTGTAGTGGGTATAACATATATATATATATATATATATATATATAGATAGATAGATAGATAGATATAGATATATATATATATATATATATAGAGAGAGAGAGAGAGAGAGAGAGAGAGAGAGAGAGAGAGGTATATATATGTGTGTGTGTGTGTTATATACCGTACCGATGGACAATAATGGGTATTCCCCAATCCTAAGAAAAACGTTGGACACCATTGTAAGTGGGAGTAATATGTTGTCTAAGTAGTCCACCACTAGCAGTGGTTTACCTATTTCACGCCGCTGGCGAGTATTGTATTTTGTTTTTATAAAGATTAACCTTTCATTTCCAACCTCCGTTTTGGTTATTCCTCATTCAGTAACCCTTTCTAGATTAGATTATATATAATATATATATATATATATATATATATATATATATATATATATATATATATATGTATGTATGTGTATGTATTTATGTATGAATATGAATATGGATTAAATAGAGAGACATGAGCAACCACACAGTCGTGCGATTGTGTTCATATACAAATTTGCAAATAAATATTTAATTTTTGTGTACACAAAACAATGCTCAATGTCGTATAACAGATATATATATATATATTATATATATATATATATATATATATATATATATATATAAACTATGCGTATTACTTATTCTGTAGTACGACTCAGATTTTCATGTATGTACAATAGTTAAATATTACTACTTAACGATTGTACATATGTAAAACATACATGAAATGAGTCGTGAATAATGTGTATAGTTACTAATATATATATATATATATATATATATGGTATAAGAATGGCAATTGGAAAAAATAGTTGTCATAGTTACATCAAATCCAAAATTCTAACTATGGCGGCAAAAACATTTCGCTTTCATTGTTTGCCTAGATAAAGATTTTTTTCCGATTGTCAAATTTATATCAGTTTGTTTTCTCCACAGAATTATTCTGGAAAAATTCCAATATAATATATATATATATATATATATATATATATATATATATATATATATATATATATATTGGAAAATTTAAATATATATATATAATTCTCAAGGTTACTATTAATGTTTGCGTGTGTCAAACACCTTATTTCTATTTAAAGACTGATCGAATATGACTTTTGTTGATATTATTGTGTTAGTTTATCTGCTAGTGTGTCATTGTATCGATTACCAAGCCGGTGAATTCTTTTAAACTTAGAAAGCAACAATGTTTTTTGTAGAACACGTTGACTTACTTTTACTGCTATTCGTTTGTAATGTACGAATTGGCTTGTCAATGTGTTGAAAGAAATTACACTCAATAAAATGGTTGAATACCTAAGCTCAATTTTGAAATCCTTAAATGATCTATATCTTTTAAATGGACTATTTGGCACAAATTGTCAAAATGATGGATGGACACCCCAAAATTTATTAGCGACTTCTTGACGATTAACATTTAGTAGTCTCTGAGTAATGGATAGCGGCTCGGATTGAGGAGTCGGAGAGCCGAGTTCGAATTCCACTCGAATCCATTACATTCACTTATGTGCTAATACCCTTGGGAAAGATGTGAATCCTTTTCTCCCCCCCAGCTATGGGTAAATAACAGGACAGACATTGTTCCATAACCTTGGATGGCAACTGATCTAATGGTAAAATGAAATGGTAATCTACTGCGGAAAAAAATCTGCCTCGTCAGTCATGTATCGAATGATCATGATCGTCTAGCCGTGTATCACGCGTGGCACATAACTGACTGAGTCTCTGACAAAAGCAGTGGTCAGTGATCGTTCTCTCTCACACTTCTGCCCCAATATTCTCCTCTCTCTCTCTCTCTCTCTTTCAGTATATATATATATATATATATATATATATATATATTTGTGTGTGTGTGTGTGTGTGTGTGTGTGTGTGTGTGTGTGTGTGTGTGTGTGTACAAGTTTATCTCCTTTTTTAAACAGATAGGTGGATTGATAGGTGAATAGATTATGGATGTAGAAATCAGCACTGAATGGTGAATGTCAGTTTAACACTTCAAGCGATCTTCAGACAATGTGATTCCTATGAAGAGATTGTCTATAAATGCTCCATATCTGATACTAAGCCTTCTTCTTCCATACATATAGCAACATGTAAACAACATACACATATATATTATCAAATGACTTAAGTCCGACAATTATATAATATATTTTCTGTTTATACGTTATTGTTAATAGATAATATTTATTTAAGTAAATGCTCTGTTTTTTTAAATAAACAGTATTAACTATATATATTGGCATGAATGTTCGAGAAATTTCGTAGAAAAGAAGCGTTCTCCGACAGTTATCGTACCTGCGTCCTATACAGAACCGTCAATATATCTGACGTGCTATACCATTTAGCTACAGAGAAGCGTCTGGTTAGCAAAGTCCAAATTGCTGTTTATAAACAACAAGTTTTCGACAATCATATCTGCTCACGAAACTTACCTTAACACATAGGACACAGGTTCGATTCCTGTCGGAGAACGCATATTTCTCAAACATTTACTTAAAAAAAAAACATTTACTTAAATAAAGCGTATCTATGAAAATAATGGACAAACAGAACTTTTATTATTTACATATATATATATATATATATATATATATATATATATATATATATATATATATATATAATAGTAATCCAGACAGACTGTTTCGCTGTATCACCGCTCTTCAGTGTGGTTAGACATCCAATTATTTCATGCCAGGATCGAAACTCGATCGATTTGACATCAGTCAAAAATCCTACCCCTAAGCTGTCGGCGCACGTCAGAGAGAGAGAAAAGGTAATTTTAGCGTTTTTCTATACGAAATACGCCTGTGGCTAAGAGAACTTAATTCGTACTTGAAGGGCAATGCATTCGTAGAGGCCGAGCTAGTGTTTTATTAAATTTACCCTTTTCCCTAGAGAGCTCTCTTGAAGGCTCTCCGAGCATATATATATATATATATATATATATATATATATATATATATATATATATATATATATATATATTGTATTGATATGAGTTTGTGACCTAGGTTCCACGCCCTTGCGATCGTCAGACAAACTCTCTATATATTTAGGCGGCATAGTTTCATTCAAACATGTTTCTTTCCATAATATAGTCATAGTGTGTCTAAATATTTTTATAGTGATCCTTTCAAGTTGTCTAATTAGTTACTTAATGTTGAAATGAAATTCATTAAGGAAGGCGCCGTAGTTTATTTTGTTTATTTTGTTTTTTTAACCCATTACTTTCGACCTTTTCTATGATCAGGAGAAAATTAAAAAAGACAAAGATGCTATTGTAACTGCGGTATGATATGCCTTTTCCCAATGTTACGCATAAATTGCCAAGTGTTGGTATCGGTGTGAGCTGCTGGATCATGTCATTTAAAATATGCTTATTTAGATAGTATATTTTCATATGTTTTGTTGAATATATATATATATATATATATATATATAATTTATATATTTACATATAAATTAATATCCATACAACTGAATGAATATATATATAATTAATTAATTTGGGGGATTTATAACCAAATTAATTATATATATATATTATTAATTTGGGGGATTTATAACAATGAGTCGAGAAGCCTTCTCAATAGAATGCACTGGACGGCCGTTTCGTCCAATAATCCACTAACAAGAATCGAACCCGACCATTTCGATACTATGCAAACGTATATATATATATATATATATATATATATATATATATATATATATATATATATATATATATATATATATATATAAGGACTAATAGGGGAGACGTGGTCTGTTAAAGCCAATCTTCCGTCGATGGGGACAGATTATTTTGAGTTATAAAACTACTATTAACTACCAGTAGTTTTGATCATAATGTAAATACAATAAACATGTATATATGGCATAAATAAATATATAGTTAATATAGACATATTAATCAAAATAACAAAAATAATAGATTTCTCACAGCTACTTTCTCCCGCACGCACTAATGTATCGTACTTTCCGTCTTTGTTTACAAATGAAATAACCCCGCCACCATCGTCAAGAAGTCACTTTGAGAACTAATATGTCTCGTTCCGCTAAGCCCGCAAATTTTGAAATACATCGCTGACGATTTGGAAGTTTTTTTTTTTTCTTCAGATTTTTTTATTTTGTCCATTGCATCCGAAGTCCGTTGATGAGAGCTTCATAGATGAGAGGTTTGTCTATATATATATATATATATTACTTCAAACTTTTTTAGCAAATACCCATGTTTGAATAGACGCTCCGCATTGAAACTGTGTATTATGTCTATCAGCCTAAGCATTCGAGAAAACTTAGTTATATCTACTCTCCGGTCGGGTTCGAACCTGCATCCCCCTTTGTAGAAAAAACTGCCGTCCGATCTGATGTGCTTCAGACAACTCTTGACTGTGACGCTCTCTATGGCCTCGTTCAACAAATGATATCCGCCTGTAGTGCACCAACAACGTGTCCATATGTATTATACCAGAAAAGAATTTTAAAGTCTGGGTGTTCGGTTTTAATTGTCTTTGGTAAAATTATACATTATCTGGAAAATTAAGCATAATTGAAAGGTTTAGAATATTCTTATGGCCACTTGTATCTGCAGGATTTTGTTTAAATTGAGAAGTTGAAACGGCGACAGAAGCGATGGTTATCTTCAAGTGGAATGAACTTAACCGATTCCTCAGAAGACGAGACCAAAGTTATCAACTGTTTCCTTTCTGTCACGTCTGTTCAACTTTTCAGGCCTCCTTTTCTTCCGCTTTCGCAACACTTTCATCATCAGTTTTTTTTTTTTTCATTTCTTTTTCACCGTCGTCTCTTTCTTCCTTTTCCTTTTCTTTCTTTTCTTTTATCATCATTTTCTGCCCCTGTTTCTCTTTCGATATCTTTTTCGTTTTCGTCATATCTTTATTTTTCTCTCTTTTCTTTCTCTTTCTTCGTCGAATCTGATTCTTCTCTTCTTTCTTCTCTTTCTTCAACTCTTCTTTCTTCTCTTTCCTCAACACACCCTTTTTCTCCTTCTTCACTTCTTCCTTCTCTTTTCTCAACTCTTTCTTTTTCTCTTCTTTCAACTCTTTCTTCTTCGATTTCCTCAATTCTCTTTCTTCCTCTCTTTTTCTTCTTTTCCTCAAATCTTCTCTTTCTTTTTCTTCTTCTCCTCAACTCTTCCATTTTTCTTTCCTCCATTCTTTCTTTTTTTTTTCTTTCCTTTCACTTTTCTTCAACCTTTCTTCCTCAACTGTTTCTTCTTCTCTTTCCTCCACTCTTTTTTCTTCTTTTTCCTCAACTCCCCCTTCTTCTCTTTCCTCAACATTTTCTTCTTCTCTTTCTTCATTTCTCCCTTTTTCTCTTTCCTCCATTCTTTCTTTTTCTGTTTTTTCAACACTTTCTCCTTCGATTTCATCAACTCTTTCTTCTTCTCTTTCTTCAACTCTTCCTTTTTCTCTTTTCTCAACTCTTCCATCTTTTCTTTCCTCCACTCTTTCTTCTCCTCTACTGTTTCTTCTTCGCTTTTCTATTCCTTCTCCTCTTTCTTCAATTCTTTCTTCTTCTTTTTAATATTTTTGCTTAGCAACTCTTTTCGATTCTTCTCATTTCTTCAACTCTTCCTTAATCTTCTTCTTCCAGATGCTTCTTCTTCTTCTTTATCTTCTTCTTCTTTCTTCTTCTTTTCTTCAACAATTTCTTCTTCAAGAATCTTGGAGGAACCTCGACGCCTTCTTTGGCAATTCTTTATTTTTATTTATTAAACCGAAAGTAATCTCACATATTATCCCATCAGGAAGCAAAATTTTCAGGGCACCCTATGAAAATTTCCTAGACAGTTATTTATTAATCAGATAGTTTGAGTAAAACATAACTTCAAACATTTTTTAGTACTTCCTCAAAATTTGGTAGAAGAATTCAAACATTTTATATATATATATATATATATATATATATTATATATATATATGGATTTTTGTCAAAATTTATTTTTGATACACAAGTATATATATTCATCATATATATATATATATATAGAACTTTTTCTTTCTTCCCACTCTGCATGGATTTTTTTTCTCAATGAAGAGTAGATAGGTACACTTATCATCCAGTTCACCTAATGAACAAAGAATCGGTTTACGAGAGACGTTCTAAATACTTTTTTCCATATGTAATCCTCTGAATTTGTACAGGGTTCGAGAATACTATTGTCGATATTTTCCATGCAAAACGGAATTTACATCTTTTTCTGATGATGCAAACCATAATTCTCATTTTCTAAAGGTATTCGAATTTTCCTCCTTCTCTCTCTCCCACCACACACACACACACACACATTATATATATTTGGGCAAATAGCAGGACAGACAAAATTCATCTCATTGGGTTTCTTTCTTTCCTCAGCCTTGATAGCTTTTCCGCTTTCCATGCAGAAAAAAATGGTAACTTACCTACTGGAAAAAAAATAAAATCTTATGTAACGGAACCATTGGTCATTCTCAACATTTTAATGTCTGGTGACTCATCCTCAAACGTCGATTTTTTAGTACCTATTAAAACAAACATTTTTTAAAAACGAAAACTTCCATTTGGAAAATTGGTACTTCATCAAGAACTTTAGTTTCTGGTTTCTTACAATCACTATGACGTTAACAAATTGGTCCTTTTTTAATCATAAAGATCAATCAAACAATTTAGTTTTTTTAAGAAAATTCCTTCAACAAAAAAAATTTATCGGTTTCAATTTTCTTCAAAAATGCGATTTAAACATTTTTTTCTACTTTTCAACGAATATTGGCGTATAACCAATTCGAAAACTTTGTTAGTGCATTAAACATTTTAGTACTTCCTCAAAATTTGGTACTTCAAACATTTTAGTACTTCCTCAAAATTTGGTACTTCAAACATTTTAGTACTTCCTCAAAATTTGGTACTTCAAACATTTAGTACCTCATCAAGAACTTTTCTTCTCCGTATTTTGACTGTAATTCGTCGGAACTTGGTCCTTCATCAAACAATTTAGTAAATAGCAGGACAGACCGGGTTCTCCTGAAATTTCGCTGTACTTTTACTACTGGAAAAAAAAATTCACTAATCTTGCCTTCAATCAAAACATTTTAGTACTTCCTTAAAATCACGTACTTCAAACATTTTTGTACTTCCTCAAAATTTAGTACCTCATAAAGAACTTTAGTACTCACACGTAATTTGGTCCTTCATCAAACAATTTAGTACTTCCTGAAATTTCGGTACTTCAACAAACATTTTAGTACTTCCTTAAAATCTCGTACTTCAAACATTTTAGTACTTCCTCAAAATCTGGTACTTCATCAAACATTTTCCTATCTCATTATTCCCGATTCTGTTTCGTCTACTTGCACTCTTATGCTCTTGATAAAGTCGTGGGTCCATCTTCCTCCTTGTATAGGTTAAATAACAGAGCAGGCTGAGCTCTTCTACCTTGAGTCGTCAACTAGTCTAGGAGAATGAAATCTCTGAATTCAAAACCAACCCAATGAAAAACCTTTTCGTTTAAACATGACACACTAGGATTGATGCTAGGGAAATTATGGGGTCACGACCTGCGATATTTTTAGGAGATTCCAATTTTATGAAATCCCCTATCTGAAATTTTGAGATCGGCAACTGTTTTTATTTGAAAAAAAAGAAAGATATGTTCAAGTATATTTTGTGTTTTCTTTAATTACAAGTGATGTTGGATACATTTTTCCTCCTTTTTTCAACTTTCTCACCTTTTTAGCCTATCCATTTTCCGCCCTTCTTTGTGTGTACAATCACAATCGAAATTATTGGAGGGGGTCTCTTTTTTTTCCCCATGGGACAGACTATGAAGATGATTCATAGCCGACCATTACAGTCTTAATCACTTCAAGCCTGTGATCAACCGATATCTATCCTACATATCCTCACAATATGCACCCCTCCATCTCCCTCCTCCTCCACGCACTTACGGCAGTCTCAATCAGTAATCGTCTACCTTGAGTGGCTCTCGGGTCTTGTATTGAATGAACAATAGTTTTAAAAAAGTCGTGTATACCTATCCTTTTGGTGGGGAAAGCGATACAGAAGAGAAAACAAAAAAGGTTTTCCGGGAAACCATTCCCGCGGATACTGGGGGACTTCTTATCAGGTGATATAAGTTACAGTGTAACCCGGATATAAGGGAGTTGTCGGGACCCGAGAAGAAGTCTCTTATATCCGGGTTTCTCTTATATCCGGGTTTGGTCTATTTTATATACATTAACACAGGCTCTAATTTGGGACCAGAGAAAATCTCTCTTATGGGTTTCTCTTATATCCGGGTTACACTATATATCGAAAGGATTGAAATAATATCTGTAGCTTATGAGTAAATGCTACGTCATTTTATATAAGGGGCTTAAGTATCCACGGTTTTTTTTCCCACACCCATTGCTCCGCGGATAAGGAGCGACTACTAATAGGTAATATAAGTAGTCTTGAGATTAGTTTTAGTACACAGGAAGAAGTGTGTGAGTTATATGCAAATACTACGTCAGTTTATATGAGTACTGGTGGATTTTAGTATATGTGAGGGATTTATGGAAACAATCCTCCGCGGATACCGAGGGATGACTGTAATTATTTGAGAGAAAGAGAGTTTTCATATTTAATAAAGAATAATAATTCATTTTTAAAATGAGGACAAAAAAAATGAAGAAGTCGGCAACATGAAGATAACTTTGGATGGAGAAACGTTTGTTTTTTGTTTTTTTAATTTTATTTTAAAGATTGTTAATTAACTGCTAGGATAGATAGATAGATAGATAGATAGATAGATAGATAGATAGATAAAGAAAGAAAGAAAGAAAGAAAGAAAGAAAGAAAGAAAGAAAGAAAGAAAGAACAGAGTACTCAGAGAAAATGTGCATAAACTTACATATTATACCAGTGAGATAATCTAACAGATGATTATTAAAATGTAGTGAGTTCGATCCTTGTTGGGCGCATCATACGGGTGGCTTTATGACAATAAAGAAACATTAATAAATACGCATGTTTAGTTAAAAATCGGATTGGGGTCGATTTTATCGATTCTAGTGAAAGAAGGAAAGAAAAAAGATCAAATGTAAAAATAAAAGAAGGAAAAAATGAAAAAGAAGAAGAAAAAAGAAAAAGAAGGAAAATTAAATAAATAAAAGAAAGAAAGAAAGAAAGAAAGAAAGAAAGAAAGAAGCAAAAGAAAGAAAGGAAATGATTAAAGGAAGGAAGGAAGGAAACAAAGAAAGAAACAAAGAAAGAAACAAACAAGCAAAAGAAGGAAAGGAAATAATTAAAGGAAGGAGAAAAAGAAAGAAAGAAAGAAAGAAAGAAAGAAAGAAAGAAAGAAAGAAAGAAAGAAAGAAAGAAAAAGGTGAAAAATAAAGATGAAATAAATAATAAAAAAAGTCAGTAGGTTAGAAAGAAGAAAAAGACAAAAACAAAAAAAAATGAAAGAAAAAAGAAAACGAAATGAAAGATAGTTACGAATGAAAGAATGAAAACAGAGAAAATAGAAAAAGAAGAAAACGAAATAAAGTAAAGAAGTAAAAGAAAGAAAGAAAGAAAGAAAGAAAGAAAGAAATATAAAAGAAAGAAAGAAAGATAAAAGAAAGAAAGAAAGAAATATAAAAGAAAGAAAGAAAGAAATATAAAAGAAAGAAAGAAAGATAAAAGAAAGAAAGAAAGAAAGAAAGAAAGAAAGAAAGAAAGAAATATAAAAGAAAGAAAGAAAGATAAAAGAAAGAAAGAAAGAAAAAAAGAAAGAATGAAATATAAAAGAAAGAAAGAAAGAATGAAATATAAAAGAAAGAAATATAAAGAAAGAAAGAAAGAAAGAAAGAAAGAAAGAAAGAAAGAAAGAAAGAGAAATTATATCAATAAAGAGTATATAAAACTGGGAGCCCGACCTTTTCATAGCTGGCAACGGAGAGAACTCTTTCTTTATGCCATGAAGTTGTTAGCAAAAGCGTAAAGAGACCGGCAGAATAAGAAGTGAGATGATGAAATCTCGAGAAAACAAGGATCAGTCAGGGCCCCTTTAAGTGAAGTAACAGCACCACAAAATGGATGAGATCTGAATACCGCTGTAACATTAGGCAGGATGACTGCCTCGCTAGAAAGAGAAGTGTCGTTGGGGAATTGTAATAATCGTCTGCTTTCAACATTTCATTCTTAAATGCAGACTGACTGAAAAACTCGAAAGCTTTACAGATTCTGGATAAAAAAATTGTGGATGTGTGCGTGTGTGTAAGTGTTTAGCACAAAGAGACAAATTGATAAACATTAACAGACATAGATAGATAGATAGATAGATAGATAGATAGATAGATAGATAGATAGATAGATGAAGAAATCTATCATAGATATGAAAAGACTAAATATTGATGATCATAGATAGATAGATAGCGACAGTCTGTTTGGTGTTTGAAAAATAATGTCATCACCGAGCCACAGTCTGTTTGGTGTTTGAAAATAATCTTCTATCCTTTGAATATTAAACACCATTTTATCAATATATAAATATATTTATATATATATATATATATATATATATATATATATATATATAATTTTTTTTTAAAAAAAATTATAACATAAGTATGTTATAAAATTACTACAAAAATAGCCATTTTGTTTCAACACACTCTGTGTCTTATGTATATATATATATATATATATATATATATATATATATATATATATATATATATATATATATATATATATATATATATATATATAT